TGCGTTTTCGCGTTCGGAAGATTGCAGCTTTGTTAAAGGACAGTTAAAGGGTTCGCGTCGCGCAGCCTCGTTATTTCTCGCCTGATAAGACAGCGCGCTCTCCGTGCGATTTCAGTCGCCGGTTCTCACGACCGACGCGAGCGACGTGCACGAGCGTTCTCGTACTTGAGCCAGCTCAGTTTCATGCAAGGGACCCGCTGATGAGTCACTTCTAACGGGAAATTTCTGGACGCAGGGGAAAAAATGTCATTCCATCAGCATCTGGTATATAACTGCGCGGGGACGCCACATGGATCGTCCGGGACGCCTCGGCGAGCCGTTGCGATGAAACACGGATTATGTAATTCCGCGCGTTCCATTCAGCGCCGCGGATAAAATGTAACATCTGCGTTGACGCAGATATCAAAGCGTCGTGGATAGCGCGCTGCTTCCGACAAAAAGTGTCGCGTTATCGCGCTGTAACGAGCGCGTTCGCGCGTTGCGTGGAGTTGCTTGAAGATTTCAGCGAGCACTTGTCTCTCTGCCGCTGCCGCTGCCGCTGCCGCTGTTTCTCGGTAGAAACTAAATGTGCGGATATCATGCGCCATGTGATAGTCGCGGCGATGAGAAACGAAACGGGAAAGGATTTCTGTCACGAGCAAGTGACGGACAAACTTCGGACTGGCGCGATGTTTCATCGACAACGAAACCTGCGCGTCACGAAATTACAATCCGTTGGCTCAACGAGTACGCGCGACGCGTTTATTTCCTAGACACCCGATATAGTTTCGCACTCGCTTGGAACTCGGAAACGCGCACATACGCTGTGAACGTGACACGTGGAGATGAATTAAAACCTGTTGTCGCGCCGGCCAGGAGATGCGGATGGTTTATGCATTTTTCGCTGCGCTTCGCGACTTGGCGCGAAATAATCGAATACCCGCGATATCGCCCGCGCGATTTGCATTTTCGTGTAGAGAGAGAGAGAGAGAGAGAGAGAGAGAGAGAGAGAGAGAGAGAAAGAGATAATGCACACAAGGTCGATTTTCTCTCACAGATGGGAGGAGCCGCCCTTAATTAATTTAATCATCGATGAGCCTTCCTCGATAATCCGACACACGCTCGCACTGAACATACATATTCCACGGAGCGCACCCTTGCTTCGAAATTCATTAAGACAACGCACCGGAGATCCGGAGATGGTTTTAATTGGTTCGTAAAATTAGCGACGACGGTTTTTTAATCGGCGCTACGCGTAACGCGAAATTTTAATTAATCCCCCTCGTTATACTCTGCGCAAATACGTGTGTGTGTGTGTGTGTGTGTGTATGTGTGCATGGGAGCGGGGATCGGGTACTTTGTATTTTCAAAGTTTCATCGAGGCCGCGCGCGCGCGCGCTTTGAAAATGCGATTGCTTAGCTCGCCGCGAGTATTCTGTCGAAGCGATCGACGCGATCGCAAGTGAAGAGCGCGATTATTGCGCTCTGCAGATTGATCTTCGCGTCGTTCGTCCGCGACGTCAAAGATGCGTTTTGTAAAAAATGTGCGTTACGCAGCCACCCGGTACGGAACGGATCTCGCGCGTCGTAAGACGTCGAATACGCGCGAATACAACGTGCTCGCGAAAAGCCATTAAAAGCTGCCATGGCAATGGCAATGAAACAGGTGCTGCGTGTGCGTTTTTAGGTCGCGGGCATCACCGTTAAATGGGATGTTGTGCTTCTTTCAAGAGAGAGAGAGAGAGAGAGAGAGAGAGAGAGAGGGAGAGAGAGAGAGGGAGAAAGAGAGAGAGAGAGAGAGAGAGAGAGAGAGAGAGAGAGAGAGAGAGAGAGAGAGAGAGAGAGAGAGAGAGAGAGACAGGCGTACACGTGTCTCCACACGAAGGCCGGTAATATTTATCCCCATACGAGCGCCTTGCCGCCGCTACGACGCGACGCGAGCGTGTCTGATAACGGTGATGAGGCTGACGAGCCTCTGATAGATATTGGCTGAAACGCGCGACGAGAACTGCAAGAGACACGGACAATGTATGAGCGAAAATAAACGAGGAAGAAATACGGTAAAAATAAGTCCCCTATGCGAAGTGCTAGAATAAAAGAGGTAATATAAAGACAGAATTAAATGACGTATCTGAGGAAATAATGTACGAAAGCGGGATAACATAATCAAGCGAAAAATGATAAAGAGGTAGTAAATAATAACGATCGGATAATATACAGGTGGACTAGGATAAAACTGGGTAAAGTAGAAAGTAAAGTAACTGGGTGATAAAACAAGGCATAAAGTAAAGGCAAATGATAAATTATCTTGCGCTAAATTACCGTGCGTCGAAGTGTGTGTGTGTGTGTGTGTGTGTGTGTGCGTGCAATTAGAGAGGAAATTTCCTGCTACAGTAGGAGAGACGTGATAAATTAAGAATGTAACATCGTGTACACAGAGAAAGTCCGAGATGTAATGTAATCGTTCGACGAGTTATCGTCGCCTACGTAAAACGCGTCGGCGATTGCGCAAGAAAATGATCAAGTGATCAGCCTCGCCTGATGGCTCTCGTAAAGGCGATCGATTCAGAATGCGGGTTAAAAGGAAAACGAGATACGCAAAACCAGTATTCTTCGATTTCCCGGCTACTTAGAACCCGCCTAACTGCTCCGGTAACCCGCGACAACCGTTTGACATTTCGCCGTGGCCGTTTTTCATAATTGCGTCATTACACGTACTGTTATGCGTAACGACATTATCGCGGTCGCTAATTTCCGGCATGCGTGCAAATTACCATTCGCGCCGCGATTTTTGCCACCACGCCCGTCAGGCGTCAGGCTGCTCCTCCGCGTGAAACGCGCCAACGAAGAAGCGTTTCGAAGAAGCGGCTGAGATTCACGAGGATATCGGTCGCGTGAGAAAAGAGTTTCCGCATTGCTGGCGTCTAATTTTAAATCATTACGTTACTACTATGACGTTTCTTCGAACGTTGCGGAGCTTCGCGACTCGCGCGAGTCGGTCCGAACCGAAAGTACGTCAGCGGTATAGACAAGAGTACGATTTTAACCGACGGAAAATGTGGCGGAAGGCTGAAGGTGGAAAGTGAGTTTGGGGTCAGATGTGAGAATATTCTTCGAGTGGATATTTGTGGGTATTTGCTTGATGATGTAGATGTAGACGAATGCGTCGGCGAATAAGCGCAGACCGAGGCACGGTTTACCGGTGAGGATGCGCTCGCTCGCCGCGGTCCGCGTGTTCCGTTCTTTACGTAGGATCGAGCGCGCGGCCACGAACAATTTGCTCCATCGCGATAAAATTCGCAGACTATTCTCCTTTGTTCGCCAACGGCCAGCGACTCCGGCCGATGCCAATTCCACCGTCGGTTTTCTATCGGCGGCAGGAATCTCAAGGGTCGGCAGGCGTGCGCGCGTCGCGTCTTTATTGAAAAAGAGTCGAATTTACATTCCAAAGGAAGAGATATCGCGCTTCTGCCTCTTTCTCGCGTACAAAGTTACCACGCCGTAATTTACAAGAGATAAGAAATATCTCGTTGAGGTATTTTTCAACGGTAGATGCACGTCCGCACGTTGTTCCGCCGCGTCCGCGCGCGGTGAAAATAGAAGAGCCCGTCTAGCAGTAAAATCTGATTGCCCGCGTGTAAAATTTCACGAGAGAGGACGATCGCGAATTGTCGTTTTGAGAATTAACGTTACGACAACGATGTATCATTAATAATCCTCTCATCACGACGATGCAATGATATTTACGAATGTGCGACTTTTTGTCGCACTGAGCACTGAGAAAAAAGGGCGGTCGAGTCCTTTCCGCAGTCTCGAATCGCGGTCATCGCTACTGGAAAAATTACGCTCTCGTGGCAATTTTTCTTCACCGAGCGATTACGGTCACAAATGCCAAATATGCCTTTTTTCTCGCTGTGCATTTAACGCCCACGCGTTAAATTGAAATACTTCGAAACCGCAATGATTGACCACCGTCTAACAGCTGTCTCAAATCCCAAGAAGCTTCTCTCCCTCTCTCTCCGTTCGCTTCTTTTTTTCTCTTTCTTTTTTTCACGCTTTCCGACGTTCCGGAACCGTACGGTGATCAATTAGTTACGAGATCGTCGCACGTACGTGCGACGACGGTGCGTTCAGACACGGTGTTACACCGTCGAAGAAGCGCGTCGACGAATTCCGCGCGAAGACGCGAATAATCGGCGCGCCTTTGAAATTGCTCGGCGCTTGCCTGCGAGCAGTCAAACTGTCGGCCATGGGCACGTACCCGAGGGACTTTCCAGGACGGGCTTTCCAGGAGGGTACACGGCGAGATAAACGGCGAAAGAAATTTCTCCTCGCGCCCGCGCGGCCTTTAATAACAGCCTCCTCCCGACTTGTTGCGCAATAAATCCGATTACACGCGGACATCCTCGCGGGCGCAATAGCGATAAATTCATACCGAGCGTCTGAAGGTTTTCCAGCGCGCGTTCGCGCGGGGCTGCCTTCATAAAATTCCCCACAGTCGATTTATTTCTTCGCCGAGCGCGCGCACTTACCGGGAAGGAGGGAGGGAGGGAGGGAGGCAGGCAGGGAAGGGGAGGGATGTTCCGCGCGAAATTACATCGAAGAAGTGGTTATTGGGATTTTTACGCGGCGAGCATTTTACGACGACGAGACCGTCCTTCTCCCCACAGACGAGGTTCTCTCCGCCTCCCTGCTCCCTGCTCTCGTCTACGATATTTCTTTCCAAATCCACCGAAGAATCCCTTTCTTTCGTCTCCGTGTGGAGGATCTTTGAATAACAGAGTATTCGTTTTTCTCGTCGGGAAATGAATCTCGTCGCCGAACGATGATTGTTCCAGCCGCCGAGATAAGGCCAATTTCGAGCCTCCGTGGACGGTCACGGACGGTGAACGGCCAGCCTTTCCCTCTCACTTTCGCCGTCGACGGCGTTAAGGCGTTGTAATTAAAATAAAAGAAGATGATACGCTCCTCTCGCGTGGATTAATCGCGTGGATTTTAACGGCCGTCTATGATCTGTGCAGCCACTGGAAAATATGGGCTCGGAAGCCTGGGAGCTGGAGAGGAGGTACTCGGTGCCGGGAGCTCTGGACACCAGGGGTCTCGAGCCGCCGGCCAGCGAGGATCTGCACGCATGGTCGATTTACAGGTGAACACTTGTACTTAAAGTAGAAGCGTATAATCCTCGCATCCCCCTTCCGCACGGTGCGGTCCGATCTAAATCACCGGAGGCGGAACACCAAAGCTAATGCAGGAGTGCGATCTTTTTTGCTATATGCGCTACGTGGAATAAACGGTCCCCTTCGGTCCCCTTCGGTCCCCTTGAATACGTTTCTCGTCTGACTAACGGTGTCGTATAACACCGTTGAAGAATTCCTAATACTGACTGTTGTTGTATATTAAAAAGATGTCGTTGATATAATAATTATTATTGTTATTATCGTTATTACATTTGCGTCGGTATTCACGCGATTTTCCCCCATTGGCTTCTAAAATGGCACCGAGACAGCTGGACGGATTTTTCCTTTCGGTGGAAATCGCGACCACTCTTCTCTATTCGATAACGCGACTGTTCGCGCGGAGATAACATCTCACTATTCATTTGCGTTTTCTGCGTAAATTCTTATTAACCGCGCTCTAAGTCCGCGATGGAAAATATTATCATACTTTGATAACTTCGCAAGCGGCGAACAGGGGTTCACTTTCCGGGTGTACATAGATCCGCGCTTGAGCGTATCCTCGAAAATGTTTCACCGTGTATCGAAGGAGGAGAGGCTATTAAGCGCGGTGGAATGTCGAAGTGTGCATACAGTACACGCATTTCCGCAATTCTACAGGCAAAACCTGAACTCCGACTTCACGGACTCCGCGCTCGGCTCCGCCGAGAAGTCGCCGCTGCCCTACGGGAATTTCCAGCTCCGCGACTCCACGGTGCAGAGCATACTGCGGCATCCGCGATACGGACCGAAGAGCCCGCTAGCCAACAATTCTTACACGTACTTGAAGTTTGGCCTGCCGCGCGTCCTGCCGCCCAGCTCGCGGAATCGCGACGGTTCCAGCGGCTATGACTCCAGCGAGGAGGGACGACGCGTGTCGCACGCAGGTACGCGTGGTACGAATCGCCAGTAATGTAGCAGATGTGCAAAGTACACTTATGCCAGAGTTTTTGTTCTCTCCACTCGATCCACTCATTCTTTTCATATTTTCGCCGTGTTTGTCGCATCTTCTAAATCTCTCGAGATGAGAGCGAGAGGTGAAATAAACAGAACGAAAAGAAAAAAACCCCTTATTAAATTCAAGAACTCGACTTTAGGTCGATCAAGTTGCTGTCATTAAGTGTTTAAGTGTAATTTAAGATCCGCTGTATCACATGTCACGGGATCAGATGGTGTGCGCCTTACGCAAGCATTCCGAAAACGACAACCCATTCCATTTGTGTGTCCAAAAGCGTAAAAGCGTAAAACCGTGTTTGCTCATCCACTTACCAGTCATACTCCAAACTCCGCAGGTGCTCCGGTGCATGCGACCTCAATCATGCGCTCGGCCAGGAGTGATCCCGACTTCAGGCACGTCCACGCTATGCCCAGGGAGCAGGCGCATTCTCAGTTGACCGTGGCGAGAGATCATCCAAGGTTGAGGAGTGCCAGTGAGGCCAATCTTCTGCAGAGCGCAATCAGGACCAATCGCCGACACAGCATCGCACCGATCGATCCTGGGTACATAGCGCATGGTAAGAAAGATTTAAAAGACGAGTTTACAGTCTTCAGATGTGTGTGGCTGATACTCCTAAACACACCAACACTCTGAGATAAGATCGAGACTGGACAGGCTTTGTCTCTATGAAAGTTTTCTCACAGTTAACCTTCCCTTCCCTTCCCGCTTTCCTTCGACGAAAATTTGCATTAAAATGTTTTTTCCCTTCTAATGAGAATATTTCTATTGTTTATGGCTCAATTCCACGTTATTTGTTGAATTCCGAACGATTTCGGAAACCGGATCCGGGTTCTGATCCGGTGAGAAACCGCACAATGTACGGTCGTTTCGCAGGGCACGGTATTCTCGGACCGGAAGGCTACACGCTGCCATTGAGACCCGTGCCGTGTCTGCAGCATCCGCACTTGCAGCTGCGAGGTGTGGAGGCATCAGGCTCGGACGGGTTGCCGTTTCTTCGCGGTATCACCCTGGAAGCCGGTGCCGCCGAGGTGCTGGCCGTCATGGCGACTACCGAGAAAGAAGGCACGCAAATAGTCGAGACAATTGCTGGCAGAAGGCGCATCAAGAGAGGCGATATTCTCCTCAACGGAAGATCCGTATCAGCACGTAGTCTAAGGTACTTTCTAATCTTCTTCCTGCATGTACGCTTTGTTGTAGCTCACTCTGGTGAACTGCCACGTGCATAACTGCGTAACTGGTATCGTGGACTTTAGAAGAACAAACAAACGTCCGTCTTGTCCGTTGCGGGAAGTTGGTCGTTTTCGAGAAGGAGGGTAGGAATATAGATAGACAAGACTCTCTTCAGCGAGGATAACGTAGTTTTAAGCCACCAGAACCAGCGATATCTCTGATGACGACGAGTGCGAATAATCGGGTAAAAAATTGATGTATATCCGGTTTCGACGGTGTGTGAGTTAACTTCGCAAGTCGGTTATGATCGATTTGTTCCTTTCTAGATCATAAAACCGACTATGACGTAGTCGGAGGAGGAAGTTTTAGCTAACCGCGGCTATAACGGTAACCGACATTAGCGGAGCGGGTTATAACTAGCCAGCCGGCTGTAACTAGCGAGCGTATTAGCATGCAAATTTACCGTGTAGCCGAGCAATAAGTTGAATAACAAGTAGCGCTTATTATTCAATTATCGCTTCAATTGTCGGTTTAATTGTTGCCTCAATTGTTGCCTCATCCATGATCTTGGAAAATAACTTTCTAACTCCGCGTGTTACGCAAACAATACTCCTAATCCTCTCGCTTATCCTGCGAACGATTATTCCTCGGATATCACGGAACGGATATGCGAATCGATCCAATTTCCATTTCTTTCTCACAAGTAATAAAAACGCTAGCAAAACGCGTGTGATCATTTTCCGTGGAAATTTTTGTCATCGTTATTTCGTCCCAAGCGACATAACGCCATCGTGCGGTTTTGGAACCAATGCTGAAAAATAATCGGCCAATTACGTTAAATTATCAACACTGTGATCGAAAAACAGATCTCGCGTTGCTTACCTGCCGACGGAGAGCGGCTTGAGTCCCGGCTTGACGGCTCAGCAGACCCTCAGCTTCTACATGCTGCTGAGGGGCGGCAGCAACACCACCACGCTCGAAGCTGAGGCGATCCTGCAGGAGCTCGGCTTGGAGGCGACTAAGCACTGTCTGGTGAACACCCTTACGACTTCCGAAGCTAGACGCCTGGCTCTCGCTTGTCGGCTACTTGAGGACTCACACATCCTCGCCTTGGACAGACCCACCCATGGTCTGGATATTTTCGATGCCTTTTTTCTGGTCGAGTACCTGAGACAATGGGCCAGCCGCGGTCAGCGGCTCGTCATCTTAACCTTGCATCCGCCAACTTACGAGATCCTCACGATGGTGTCGAGGGTCGCGCTCACTTCCGGTGGTCGAATCATGTACTCCGGACTTAGAAGAGACATGCTGCCATACTTTGCGCTCGCCGAGTTCCCCTGTCCCCCGTTTAAGAATCCGTCCGACTATTATCGTACGTATCGCACTGTCACTTTTCGTTAGAACTTTTCGTTAGAAAAACAGGGTGCTAAATTTCAAACGTAACCGGTAAAAAATCTCGAAAACTGTGAAAGATACTAAAGAAAGCTGAAACATGTGTTCCATGATTTCGAAGGAGAAAGAAAATGGCATTGTCAGTTTTTCATTTGGAGGGTATTTTCAAGGTCAGTTGAAGGTCAACTTAATTTTTTTTAAATGGAAAGCCCAATTTTTTATTATATCGTCTCTTTCTACCAACTAATTTTAACAACTTTTGTCTGAAACTTTTTATTTTTTTATTTGCCTAATACTTTTTGAAATATTTACGGAAAACTTTACGGTAACTTTTTCGACATTTAACTTACGATATCTCGCTAATTATTCGTCGAAAGAAAAAATAGTATTAGACTTTTTTATTTTATTTACTATCAAGAATATATTGCTACAAAATATAGTGCCCAAACTTTTGTTAACTTATCGACCTTTGGAAATTTCAAAATTATTAAATTAAACAGATTTTGTAATGCGAAAGTTAAAGTGAGGCACCCTGTATACAAGGATATTGAAATATCTGATAGTTCTATTGGTGTTAATCACAAAAAAGAAGACAATGTTCAGAAACATTTCGATCCCGCGAAAATAAATTTCTCAAATACGAAAGTACAAAGCAAGAGTTGTTAAATTTCTCCACTAATTTCACATTTTTTCTATCGTTTCGGCTATTTAAATTTCTCTTGGAATTTCAATGTCTCTTGAGAATAAACTCTTTCAGTAAGATGTCGAATATAATTATCAATTAAGAGAGAACATTTTGATCTACGTATTTTGACTTACTCGAACTTGATCGGCGGACTTGCTGTTTCAGTCGACTTAGTGACGCTAGATGACCTGTCGGCGGAAGCGATGCTGGAGTCCTCGCAGAGGATAGATCATTTGGCAGAATTGGCCAGGACGAGACTGCCTCCTCTCAGCGATCCTGGACCACCCGGGGCGCTACCTCCGTTGTCGTCCGGTCCTAACATATTTACGCAAATCTATGCACTGTTGCTGCGAACGTTGATCTACAGTCAACCGTGGACGTTGACACGATTGTTGCGAAAGATTGTCATCTCAGCGTCACTCAGTATTCTGCTCGGTGCGATATTTTGGGACGTGGCCGGCGAGTCGAATTTATATCTGAGGGACAGAATAGGCTATCATTACGCTAGCTTGGGCATCTTTTTCTGGCCCTTGAGTCTCTTGGCTATGTGCGAGGTCGCTGACAGCAGGCCAAACGTCGAAAGAGACATACGGGACGGGCTCTATGGTAGATTTATTTACATCCTCATAGAGGTAAGTCTGACCTGAGAAAATTATAAATTTCGTCAGCTCGACAGCTGAAGAGAAAGGCTGAAGACGGAAAAATGAGAATCGCGGCGAGCTGCTTGAGATCGCTCAGCTATCAATTTGCTATTATGTTGCGAGCGCGAGAAGCAGAAGTTTGCACACTTGCCCACAAGAATGATAAGCATAAGAATCGAAGCATACATATAATTATTAATTTCAAGAGATGTCAAAAACAAACGAAAGATATTGCATGTCCAGGCAACGTAAGAGTATCGATGCACATATCACGTGCGGCGTAATGCTGAATTTTCCCTGCGCGTTCGCAGCTAATCTGCAGTGTGCCGTCCTGGTGCGTGGTCTATCTGATATACTTGGCGCCAGCGTTTGCGATGTCGGGGCTGCACCTCGTGCCGGACGAGAACCTAACGTCCCTGTGGAACTACCTCGCCGTCGGCCTGCTGTACCTGACGCTGCAGCATCTGGTGTGCGTGTTCTTCGCTCACACATGCAAGTGGACGTACCTGGCGGCGTTGTTCGCCGGCATCGTGGTGGGCGAGACCACCTTGTCCGGCGGAGTGGTGCTGCACATGGACAATCTGCCGTCGTGGTATCAGAAGATCAGCCCCATGCAGTGGTCCTTGTCGCTGCTTCTGCCGCGTCTGCACAGGAGCGAGAGCATGGGCAAACTGGCCAATTGCAAGCCGAAGCAGATCCAGCGGCAGGATATTATCATCCAGGCGGCATGCGAGCCCCCCGACGGCGCGTTAGCCCTCCGCGAGGTCGCCCTCGACAGGCTGAACGTGCGCGGAGAGTTGTGGCTGGGCATCGGTGTGGCCGTCGCGGCCGTGTTGATCTTCCTGGGTTTCCTGTGCGTCAAGTACGCCACCCCGAAGAGGCCCAGGAGCGCCCCTAACAAGCCCTGATCAAGTTGCGACAGTCGAAGAGAAGCCGAGTCCAGAGAAGCTGTACACTTCCGGGTGCCACGAAGTTCTATAAGTGCTCGCGTGCTCGCTTTTAGTTAGCCTCCTTTGCGACCGAATGACAGGATCTCTCGTTCAATAATCAGAAGCTTCGTAGGCTGCCCTCCCTCCGGCGGTCTACTTCTTCGTTTCGTTCTTTCTTTATTCTTTCGTTCTGTTTCTGTCGCGCTCGTAAAGTCTCGCGTCTTCGCGTCTTCGCGTCTACCCCGCTGCGATTTTTTAAAGGGGCGCACTTTAGAGACTCGCAGGGTAGACAGGCGGTACTGCGGAGTACAAAGCCTGAGAAGACGCTCCCGTCCCGTGCAATAGGAGGCCGCCGTTGTAGACGACAAATAAACACGCTTAATATTTCGTATATCGTCTTAACCGATATCGTATCGTTGTAATCGTATGAAATAAACATTCTTATGAGACGAACAATTCTGGCCTATTCTTTTGACTCTATACTCGCATTCAGCGATTCGGAATTTCATTGCAAATTGTCGGTTTACACTAGGAAAAATGTATTGTTGCGCGAGCCAAAATTTTGTTGTAACAACAAAATAATTTGGTTACAATATGCCCAACAAAATTGTTCAGTTCCTGTACGCAAACAAATATCTTGTTTGATTACGGTTTGTTCGTATAACGTAACACTTTTGTCATAGCAATCAAAAAGAACTTGAACTATATGAATTTTGTTAAAAATACTACAATTTTTTCTTAATATATAAAATCTAAATTTTAGCGCACAGAAAGACAAAATAGTATCTATTGGGCATTATTTCGTTATTATGTAATTTTTATGGATAAAATAACTAGAATGCTTAATTTTTATATATGAAATGTAAGAACAAAATCATTTGGTCCAGAGAACAAAGCAGAAAAATATATTTGGTTGAGACAACTAAATATTCTGTTATATAAAACAAGATATTTGGTTGCTATTAAGAAATGCCTCAACTAAACAGTTTTGTTAGAGATACTGAATCTTTTTTCCTAGTGTAGGATCTTGGCTCGGTGCAATCTCGCAGTAATGACATTCCAGGTCTGTGTCACTTCAATGACAAGCGTCGTTATCGCTCGTGATATTCAATGTTTTTTAGTTACGTTCAATAATTGCCAAGTAGATATTTGAGAGAAACGTTGTTAATTTGCCGATATTTAAATACCGATTGCGATCGCCGTAGAATTTAAATGACGTAACTCTTTAGCAAATCTTTGCTTCCTCTTATTACTTTGAGTAGATACGTAAAATACTGCTTTGGATTCGTCAAGTTTTTTTTACTTGACACGACACGTACGCCAAATCGATAACGCGACAGGGAATTTCGCTACCAGCGGGGACCAGCATCGAGCAGCTGTTTCCTCGCAACGGGTAACTGATTTGTCCAAAGCTAGCGTCCACTCGTAGGCTCCATCTAGACATTCCGCCGATACTGAAGATACCTGTCGTGCAATTATATATTTTCATTAGCGTAAAGCGAAGCGTATTAACGTCGTGCGATCATTACGTTCGTGCGGGAAGCAGCATATCCGATCGACCGAACACTCATGGAAATACGCGCGCGCTTTGGCGAAGGGCTCGCGGGCTCGAGCACCGTGGGGGGAAATTTAAATTTAGATAAACGAAGAGCTTATCGCCGTAGAAAGTGACTGAAAATATATTTGCCCGCGTTTCTATCGCGCGTTATTCGGAGATCGGTAGAGAGTGTCCATCCTTCGATATAGATACCGCACTACGCAAATCGAGTTTATAAAGAGCCCATGAGCGTTAGACGTTTATTAGAAATCGATAGCACGTTGAGCAAATTTATCCCGTGGATGACGCATGCTAAGAAATGCGAAGTACGATTAAAAATAAAAACAACTCCATGCTCCTCCGTCCATGCGACCGGCGCGGCGGCTGGACGCCGTCGTTATGCTGTCGCTTGTTGTACACCCGCGATAGTTTTATTATTGAGGAATCAAGTTCCAGTTGACGCGTCCCTGCTATCGAGAGACAGAGATAAATCTCTGGGTAGTGGAAACAGAGAAGGAGCGCGCGAGAGAGATAACCGAGTATCGTGAATTTATTAAGCAGATCCGATTTTAGCCGGTATCCTTCCCTATATTTAGCGTCGAGTTTAGCGCTAAATGCAACTCCGCACGACTCCGATTTTTAGCCGTCTGACGTAGCGAGATCGCATCCGAAAATCGCAAACGGTGACGTGCGATCATCACGAATGTGTTATTTCGCCAGCGTTCTCGTTTCGCACGGAGCAATCGATTACTTTTACCGGCTGCTCGTCGAACTCTCGCTTCTCGTCATCGCGCACGAGTGAGCGAGCGAGCGAGCGCGCGCACGCATATCCCCCCCCCCTATTCGTATCGTAATTATAATTCTTTCTTTTTACGTAAGCGCTTACTTTCATCGCAATCGAGCTTACAATTAATTACGCCAATTAGTGCCGACGTTCGTCGAACTCGGCAACGTAGCGCGGCGCGAGAGATCGTTTATCGCTATCACACGTATCTCCGTCGGACGATCTTGCGAGCGAGATATGACGGCACGAATGATAAAAGTGTCAAGAATGGAAGGATTCCAGTCACGCTGTGATTCATGCGCGTGTATCCCTATCTCGGATGGCATCGCGTTGATTCGTCAAGACTGCGAACTCTTTAAGAGACCGCATGCACCACAAGACGGCTGATGTTTCCAACCGCTCTCTCTCTCTCTCTCTCTCTCTCTCTCTCTCTCTCTCTCTCTCTCTCTCTCTCTCTCTCTCTCTCTCTCTCTCTCTCTCTCTCTCTTGCGCACACTTATGTGTGCTGCAAAAGTTCGAACAAATTTCCACAGACGCTCAAGTACCTCCTCGTCCGTTCAATTGCTAAATTTACGAGTTCAAAAGCTCCGCAATGTGTGCGATCCTCAATGAAATTCTAAGTTACAGGATGCTGAAAATATCGTATCATCGGACGTTGTTTCATACTATTGCAGCGTTTGCTGATAATGTTTCCGAGCATAAACTGCGACGTTTGTTTGTTTGTTGAAGAATTAAACGACGCGCCTCCAATGACGAAGCAAAGTCAACATCTACCATAAGAAGAGCTTGGAACTTTAGGGCTTAGCGGAGAAGCCCAAAGCCTTACTCGCACCTACACGCTCGATTTAATTTTTTCTTCACATCAACGAGTGGGCGGCACAATCTCGCTTCGGGAGTATCGCTGGTAAATGTCAGTTGTATCGTAAAAAGTAAAGATTAGTATGACTTTCGACGTAATGTGCTTAAACTCACACATCAAACATACACGTACATGTACATTCTCTCTATCTCTCTCTCCTTTTCTCTCCTTTTCTCCCTCTCTCTCTCTCTCTCTCTCTCCCTCTCTCTCTCTCTCTCTCTCTCTCTCTCTTCTTCCTCTCCAGGGGATTTCTATGTATTTAAACAATTCTATGCGCGATATTAAGCACGAAGGGAGAAATGCGAATGTTAAATTTTGCACGGAGCCAATATAATGCCAGCTTTGCTTCGGCAAATATCACGCCAACATGAATATATCCGCTCGTTTTGATATGTAGAGGAGAAAAAAGAGAGCCCACGGATTATAGCCGTTGAATTAAATTCACGATTGAGCAGGTTACCAACAGAAGCGGAATCGATATCCCGTCGCTGTTTGCGAAAGCGACTCGGCGTCCCGCTTTCGTGCCGATCGTATTAGGCGTGGAAATTCGTTATGTAACACGTAACAAGCGGACTCCTTAAGACGAAGCGCGTCGATCCTGTAAAAGGGTGCTGTTCGCGCGCACAAGTATCGGAATTTACCGCTCGGACATCGAGTCTAAATAAAGCGGAGTAGTCGAGGGTACAATGAATCGGGTCTCCTTTGCAACGTGTTCGTGTCAGCCATGGTACAGAGCGTTTCACGCGTACGCGCGACATATTGTATCCCATTGCGTGCCTGCGCTTGTCCGTATCATTAGAGAATCATATTTCGCCTCTCCTGATGAGCGGACTTCTCGAGTGAATTTTAGTGATCCACACGGTGGATTGGAAGGAGCGAGCTGTTCCGCGGGGGAATCTTAAAAAGGCGATTCGAAGCGGTGTATCTGGCCTCGTCGAGAGGTCTCTCCTTCTCTCGCCGAGCCTCTCACACATGGGACAGCCAGTACAGCTGATTTCTCAATGAATCGACCTTTGTACGGACGGCCCACAAGAAACTCGTTCATCGCGCTTAGGAGAGAGAGAGAGAGAGAGAGAGAGAGAGGGGGGGGGAGAGAGAGAGAGAGAGAGAGAAGCCGCGGAATGCCGGCGAATTATTGCGATACGACGGAAATTGAGGATCGTGCGTTTGTGTAACGTCACCGGCGAGAGTTACTACGACATATTTACGTAATGAGCCTAAGAGAACACGCGCTTTTCCAGGAATTATCGCCATGCCGTCGCGCGGCCCACGCCGCCGGGACTTAATTACTTTCATCGACGGAAGCGGTCGTTTGCAACGGTAATCGGCAATTTATGCTGGCTTGCCAGTCTAAGCTGTAGTAATCAAAGGGTCGTCCCTTGATGACGTGAGTCCGAGTCGACTTTGTCGAGCGTGTCCCGTCCGTTCTCTTGCTTCGACATCTTTATGTCTTCATGAGCGAGAAATTTAAGGGATTTAACGCATCGGAGATGTAGTCTTTTTGTTTCTTTTCTTTCCCCTCTCTGAAAAGCTGACGATATCAATTTCAGAATCGAGAAGAATATCCAAATCCGATTGCTCGCCTGAGATTCTTGAAAATATCCGTTGCTCGGTCGATCTTGCTAGACGCATCGACTTGGAAAATAAGTAAGTCGTAAATAAAAGGCTAGCTACGATAAAGTGAAAAACATACGCGTATTAACATTGATTGACGGTAATAATTAAACAATTAAAGTAAATATAACGGCAAAGAAGTTGCGCCGACGACGTTAGCCAACGACGAAGCGACGAGCTAATTCAAGGAAGATCGAAAGAGAATGTATTATTAACGTGCGCGTCGCAATTAATATAAATAGTATATATTATTATAGACGCGATAAAAAATATATTCTCTCTCTTATCATATTATTGTATATTAGATATTGTTATTACTTACGAACATAAGATACGAACGTAAAGAGCTTCGGATTAAATCGGAGCAAGACAAAAAAAGTGGAAGAAGTGCGTAGTGGGAGGCGGATAAAAGAAGCTAGAGAGAGAGAGAGAGAGAGAGAGAGAGAGGGAGAGAGAGAGAGAGAGGAGGAAGGAAGGGAAAAAGGAGAAAGATGAGCGAAACGTGCGAATCATCGTAGTTACGTCGCGTCAATGCACCATTGTGTTATAATATATCGAGGAGCGCGATCCGCAAGACTTTCATACGATAACCGTCGGTTATACAAGCAGCAAGTGAAACCGCGTTATTTCCGGTCGCCCGGTTCATCCTACGCACGGCTATT